TATGTATCACTACCACATTTATTTTTGATAAAAAGATTGCATATCATAGTACAAATGATGATATGTATATTCCTATTATGAGATGTCAAATTTCATTTATAAAGTTTTATATTTTTGATAAGATTCTTAATATATAACAATAACTTATGTATCACTATTAATGAAACTAGTAAACAAATAACATAATTATACATATATTGTTTCCACCTTAGCCTAAAAATAAAAAAAATACAAAATATGTATATATATTTATATTTTTGTGAAACTTAATTGTGAATATATTTTTAATTAAATATTCAAATTCTTCTTTAATTCACTAACTAGTATGAAAATAACTAATCAAATTATCAAATTGTTATATTTATTCCTATCTAATCACCATAAAATATATTTGTTGAATCGACTGACCAAATATAACTTAAATTTTAACATAATCAATATTACATTAAGTTAATTAATAAATTAATGTATCTTTTGAATATGTTTTAACTAAAATACTAAAAAACTAAAACATACAAATTTAAATATATACTAGATTTTGACCATTTAAAAATCTAACTTAAAATGGAAATAAATGTTAGTTTTCATATGATTGAGAATTTTGACCGAACCGAAAACTCCAAACCAGAATTGACCCAAAAATACAGGTTCGGATCTGAGTCTAGGCTAAATACCTATTGGCTATAATTGGATCCGAGAGACTTGGTTCTGGTCCATGTCCTACTCGAGTCGCGATTGGATAATTGAAATACTCAGAATTTCTTGTATATATTAGTTATATGTGAATATTTTGGTATATTTTCATTTTACGAATATTTATTTATGTTTTGGGTTTGAGTTTTCGATTATAGTTTTGTTTAGTCCAAAATTTCATATTTTCAGAAATACAAATCGAGTATCCAGGTAATTTCTGTAGGTATTTTGGGCACTAGGATCAGATTTTAGGTAAATTTTGGGTTTTTTTTTTTTTGGGTATTTTACAGATTTCTAATATTTTAGGTCTATGGATTTGAGTCTTAAATTTCAAGAGCCGCAATGTAACTGAAAAATAAAGATATTTTCAAATATTTTTATTATAAACCTGAACCATTTCGGACCCGACATGAACCAACTCGAATCTGAACCAAAAAATTCAAATACCTAATTAGATTCAAATATCTAAGATACAAAAGACCATAACCGATAATAACCGACATGGAACCAACCCAAAGACCGGAATGTCCATATCTATTTTTTTTCATAATTTTAACCTTAATTACATGTATATGTAGTATATAGTGAGTCCCATGTTTTTAAGAGATATCAATTATGTTGAATGGACTGAACATTTAATTGTATTATTTAGATATACATTGCTTTTATTTAAATGTGTTTGTTTTGATGTATATTGATTTTGTTAGGAGTATCAAATAAGAATATATTTAGGCTACTTAGTTAAGTGTCTAATGAATAGGTCCATAACTTTTATAGTAGATTTTTAAAATGATTTTTTTTTTAAATAATATAGATTAATTTATACATAAAATTAACATCATCCTAAATACAATATAAATTTGGGACGATTTGCTCGATATACATAAGAGATAGAACAACAAAGAATATAGCCATGTTACAGTGGATGAGACAATTTGTGCACAAACTTGACCGAAATCTCCTTCTAGCGCGTGATGTTGACACTCAAAAACTAAAATTGTCATATTATACTACATATCATATAGTATAGTCACATAAAGAAATTCACTAGTTACGATATTGGATTTCAGGTATTAAATGACTATACTATACATGATTATGACACAATATGGAATACTCGACACAAACAGATACATCTTTCATTCCTATGTATATCCATAATGCATAACTAAATTGGAGGGAGGGGAAATGGTCAAAGTTTAACAATGATGACCTTTTGATGGGCGATGTGGAGGATATCATAATAAGACAACCAAATAGTACTTTGCCATGGAATGAGTAGAGGAGAAGAGAAATATAAAGAAAAGACTCTGGACTACATAAATAAGAACAAAAAGAGGAATATTGGAGATAGAGAGAGGGAGAGAGGGAGGGAGGGAGGGAGAGGTAGAGAGAGAGAGAGAGAGAGAGAGAGAGAGAGAGAGAGAGAGAGAGAGAGAGAGAGAGAGAGAGAGAGGGGGAGGAGGAAGACTACACTATATCTAGATTATAAATGAGAATAGTATAGTATCTACAAGAATGATTGCCAAAAAATCATGTATACTTTTTCATTGAAATGTAGTGTTAATGAAAATAAAATGTGTTTGCATTAGATATAATGCTTTGATTTCAGAAAGCTCTAAACAACCAGTTCATTTCAGTGACATACAACTAATTTTACTATAAACCATGAAGATGCACTCTATTCTATTTGATACAAAAGTATAGAATATATACTATCATGTTTTGCACATATTAGCCGATACTTTGTTTTTCTTTTATTTCAATGCAATCCAGTATTTTATTCTTGGTTGGTGATGAAGAAGGGGAAACAATAATGAAAATGAGAAAGTTTTATATTTTGTTTTGTATTGTACAATGTAGAATGTATTGTATATGGTTTGATGGCTGCTTTTTTTTTTACAATGTGGTTTTCATATATATGAGATACACTTGTTGTAAAGAATAACACAAAAAACTTTATACTCAAGCACCATCTATTAAACAATCACATTATCAAATTCATATTCTTTCAACATTAAGAAACATTTTCTATTATATGTTTATCAAATAGAATAGTACAATGCAACATGTACTATTATTCTTCTTCGATGGTTCTACGCATTCTCTGTTTCTTAATATGCATATATCGAAAAGTAACAAAATTGTAAACCAAAACAAATATATGAAGAAGCGTGATCAACGATGGACAGTTGTTGGATCTAATGATTATATGGCGTGTGCAGTACTATTTTTCCAAAATTTTCATAAAACTTGTAAATAATCATGGGATAAAAGATAGATGACAAAAATCAACATATGTTTTTGAAAAAGAAAGTTTCAGAAGAATAAAATCAACAAAAGAAGTGAGAGTGAAAATGAAATAGGGATGAAAGGTATTTTTTGTCTTTATACATATTATATAAAGAATATTGTAGCATAAGAATAGTTATGGTTATATACTTATTTTTTTTTGTTATGTACATTGCACATAGTTTCTCTATAAAATTTATACTCTATAATTAAAATTTAAGAAAATATAAAATAAAAAAATTGATAAATGATTATAGTTTATGATAAATATTTATATTTATACTGATAAAATTTAAAAGTTTTAAAATATTAAATTTGACTTTTTACTTTAGAAAATGAAATAATGTTAATAATTACTATAATTGTGCGAAAAGAACTCTCTGTTCTCAAAAAGCAATTGATCTTAGTTGTTAATGACTTCAAATGAAGACACAAATAAAATATTACAGATCAATCAGATCAATGTATATCAAACTGATAATACAAATCAAGTAGATCAACATGATTACATAAAACAGATGTAGATTTCTTTATCAAGTAAACTTACTAAATTATCATATTTGTTTAAATGTTAGAAGAAACATAATTAAAATTAAATATTTAAACTGAAACTATAAATAAAAACAATAAAATATAAATTATCAATATACATATATATTCATTAAACTAAGTTATAGGTCGATAAAGAAAAAAAACTAAGTTATTAAAATGTTTGCAATGAAATCCAAATCCCTACAAATTGACTTCTTCCGTTTCGTATTAAAGTGTCATTGTAGAAATTTTTTTTGTTACAAAATAAATATTTTTGTGTCTTTCAATCCAAAATTTATTAATTTTATATTATAATTTATTTTTGTTGGTTGAAATATGTTTAGGTGTATAAATAATTATGTTTTTATATAAAATATATATAAAGCTAACTATTTTTTAATCTGTGTTCACAAATATAAAGTAACGTTTAATATAAAACATATAGAGTAATATTTAACAAAATTAATTTGTGTATGATGATTATTCGTATTAAATTCCAATTTACTCCTCGGATACCCTTTTGGCTATGTTTGACTATATTAAATAACTCAGAATTTAATTCTACTTTCTGTCCAAAAACAGGAGGGATACAAATTGGGAAACAGACAAACGCCGCCAGGGTGGAGCCACATAAACAAATAGTTGTAGATAAACAAAAAAATCCGGTAACCCGGACAATACACAAAAAAAAAGAAAAAAGAAAAACCCGGATCCGGATTCTAGAGTTATCGGGTATCATTAGCTGGATACAGCCTGTCACCAACGGAGAGTCTCTTCCTTCCATATTCTCCTTTCATCTTCTTCTCTGTTTGCGCCTCATTCCTTAATCTCTCTCCCTCTCTCCGATTCTTAGGGTTTTCTCCGATCGTTCAGATCTTCCCCGTTCTAACTCTTTGGATCCAGATTCTCCTCCTTGTAAGCTCTCTATTCTCACCTTTCCTTACCAACTTTTCTTTGATGAATTGTGGATTCGTTTTCTCGTCGGATCTGGATCTTCGTGTTTGCGTTATGCCCCGTAAAATTGATTTGTCTTTTTCCTCTTGCGATTGTCTCGATTATTAGATGGAGACGTATTGACTTTGGTTCTGTCTGTGGAGAAAGAGAATGTCTTTTCCGTTATGAAACCTTTTGTTGACTTGTCCTTTGTCGAAAGATTACTCTTTGCTTTTATAAATGTTTGTGGAATGACCAACAAGTAGAGATTTGTAATAGCATAATGTTTTCAGGTCTCTGATCCATTTATCCTTGGTTTCAGTTTATGTAGGTAACACACATATCAAGTGCTAGAGTCAAGATCACAAAAAGTTGTATCGGGTGATCTGGGCTGCTCTTTTACTGACACATTTGATCTGTGATTGTGAGTCTATGGATGACTAGTTGCTAATCTTTAAAAGGAGAAAAGCAAATCTTCAGCTGCTAGTGGCTAGAGAACTTTTGTGCATCCATGCTGGTAGAGAGCATGCGTGGATACTGTCTTTTGGGTGATGCCCCTGACAAAATTAGTTCCCGATGCATTCGGCGTGCTGACCATCTGTCTAGTCGCTCTGCTCATTCTTCTCGGTCTCCTCTGCATCGCCTACTCCTTCTACTTCCAGTCTCAAGTTCGTAAGCAAGGCTTTACACAACTAGGTTACTTCAGCGGTCCTTGGATTGTCCGTATCACTTTCATTCTCTTTGCTATCTGGTGGGCTGTTGGCGAGATTCTCCGGTTGAGTTTGTTTAGGCGTCACAGAAGGGTGCTGACCGGTTTGGATCTCAGATGGCAAGAAAACGTCTGCAAGTGGTACATCGTCTCCAATCTTGGGTTTGCAGAGCCTTGCCTCTTTCTCACGCTCATGTTTCTTCTTCGTGCTCCTTTGAAGATGGAGTCAGGGGCTTTGTGTGGGAAATGGAACAGGAACACTGCCGGTTATGTTTTTCTTTGTTGTCTCCCCATGCTTGCTCTTCAACTTGCGCTTGTTTTGTCTGAGTCACGCCTTAACGGTGGTAGTGGCTCTTTTGTAAAGCTGTCACACTACTTCACAAGAACGTATACCCGAGTTACTTTTGATCATCATGAGGTTGCTTTATGCACGTATCCTCTACTGAGTACCATCATCCTCGGTGTGTTTGCAGCCGTACTAACAGCTTACTTGTTCTGCCTTGGAAGGCAGATACTGAAACTGGTGATTAATAAGCGTCTGCAGAAGAGAGTCTACACTTTGATATTCTCCGTCTCGAGTTTCCTTCCGTTGAGGATTGCTATGCTCTGTTTGTCGGTACTTGCAAGGGCAGACAAGATTGTATTCGAAGCACTTTCTTTCTTGGCCTTCTTGTCCCTCTTCTGCTTTTGCGTGGTTTCCATTTGCTTGCTTGTCTACTTCCCGGTTTCAGATTCAATGGCCCTGAGAGGTCTAAGGGACATGTATGAAGATGATAGTAGGGCTGTGACTGAAGAACGTAGTGGTGCTCTGTTGCTTGCACCACAGAACGAGGATAGCTTGAGCTTAACAGGTCGGAGATCTTCTTCACAGGAGAGGTATGTGGAGCTCAGCTTATTTCTTGAAGCTGAGAACTAAAATCGCCAAAAGCTGTTTCTTTGGCTTTTGGCAATGGTTATGTACAGATTCCTGGTGAAACAAGCATATAGAGAGAGACTTAAGGAATGTGTTTGCGCAAAAAAGCATTATTATTCTGTTTTGTGGCAAAGACACTTTAACTGTAAAGGAGGGTTTGTTGTTTGAAATGTTTTCTGCGTGATGGATCATATTTTTGTACCTTTATTATGTGATCAGTTTTGATTTAGAAAAACAAAACACAAAACCAATGGAATCGTCTAGATCTCTCTCCTCTAGTTTTCTCCAACCTCTCTACAAACTCGGGTAATCGGATTTCGATTTTGGTGACCGGCGGTTACAAACTCTGTTTTGTTTTGTTTCTAAATACAATCATCGATCTCTAGATTGAACTAGTTTCCGGCTAGCGGATCTTTTTTTCCCTTGGGGATTTTGGTGTGTATCAATCTCAACTTCAAAGCGGATCTTTATGTTCTATTCTTTCTTTGAATTGAGATTGATTAATAAGAGTTTGAATGTAAAATCTTAGTATTTGATATCACAATTGAGCTGAAAAGGATACTTTATTCTAACTAGCTATAAATAGCTTTACAACGTCTAACAAATCAACTACAAAGTTACAATACTGGAAACAACTTTGCTCAACAGATTCCTATAATTTCGAGCTTATTTGATTGAAAAACATACGACTCATTCTAATACAAAGACTTTATTTAAAGGACCACGTTCCTAACAATTTCTCCCTAAAGCTAAACTCTTCAGTCTTTAGCTTAGTTGTGTGACATCGATCATCCCAAGCATTGCTCCAAGCTTTTCAAACTGTTCCAGCTTCAGTGCTTTTGTAAAAATGTCTGCAACTTGATTCTTTGTGGAGCAGTGACTAAGCCTTACAACACCATCATTCACCAAATCTCTAAGATAATGAAATCTTACCTCAATGTGTTTGCTCTTTCCATAAAACACTGGATTCTTAGACAACTGAATTGCAGAGTTATTGTCACACTTGATCACAGTTTCTGCCTTTTCTTCAAATCCAATCTGCTCAAGAACTTTCCTTAGCCAAACACATTGACAAGCGCATGATGCTGAAGCTATGTATTCTGCCTCAGTGGTGGAAAGTGCAACTACTGGCTGCTTCTTAGATGCCCAAGAAATTGCTCCTGACGCCATTAAAAACACAAAACCTGAGGTGCTTCTTCGATCATTCAAGTCTCCAGCATAGTCACTGTCGGTGTATGACTCAAGCTTTAAGTTACTCCCATCCCTTCTGTATAAGATCCCCATCTCAATAGTTCCCTTCAGATACCTTAGAATTCTCTTAGCCGCAAGCCAATGTGACATTCTAGGACTTGACATGAACCTGCTTATCAAAGAAACTCCATACATCAAGTTTGGCCTTGTTACCATAAGGTACATGAGACTGCCAACTACTTGTTTGAACATGGTTTCATCGATTTTTTCACCATCTTCATCCTTGTGCAACTTGGTTCCAGGCACAATTGGGTTCTTCACTAAGTTGCTTTCATCCATACCAAATCGTGCCAATACTTCTCTTGCATATCTTCTTTGGCATATGAAAATCCCGTCTTGACTTTGTTTGACCTCCACACCTAGAAAGTGTTTCATTTTCCCCAAGACATCTCAAACTCTAGCATCATCGAACTCTTGAACTCGTCACACATGCTTTTGTCATTACCAGTGTAAATTAAATCATCAACATAAAGACTGACAATGATCAATTTACCTCCCCGTGTCTGTGTAAACAAAGTATGCTCACTTGAGCATCTTTTGAACCATTCTCTCATAAAATAAGCTTCAATTCTGCTATACCAGGCTCGCGGTGCCTGCTTGAGACCGTAAAGCACTTTCCTCAGCTTATAGACTTTCTCTTCCTCCCCTTCTTTGATAAACCCTTCTGGCTGATTGACATACACATCTTCTTTAAGTTTCACATGAAGAAAAGCGCTTTTAACGTCAAGCTGGAAAACTTCCCAATTTGATTGAGCTGCAATCGCGAGAATCGTCCGGATTGTGTTGAGACGAGCAACAGGGGCAAAGACTTCAGTGTAATCAATACCGTAGCTTTGAGCATAGCCCTTTGCCACTAAGCGAGCTTTATGCTTCTCGATCTCACCATCTTCATTCACTTTTTTCTTGTATACCCACTTTACTCCTATTGGTTTGAAGCCTTTAGGAAGTTCCGTAAGCTCCCAAGTGTGATTCTTCTCGATTGAAGCAATTTCACTATGCATCGCGTCTCTCCAAATTTTGTGTCTTGCTGCTTCTTCAAATCTGATCGGGTCCTTCTCTGCTACCATCGTCATCATCATCATTAAAGCGTTACCATCTACGTTCTCTCCTGTCTCATAGTCATCCATCCAAATAGGTGTTCTCCTCTCTCGAACAGCCCTCCCTAGAGCTCTGTTGTCGGCATTGGTTGATTCATTTGTTGGTGAATCTCTCGAAGGTGTGTTGTGAGTTTCTGCAGTTGCTTCTTCGCCTGTATTCACTTCATCACTTTCCTCTTCCCATTCTAGTTTATCATCTCCATCATTTCCTTCTACGTCCCAACTCCAGCCCTTTTCTTCTTCAAAAACAACATCTTTGCTGACCACAATCTTTTTGGAGACGGGATCATAGAGCCTCCATGCCTTAGATTCATCACTAACTCCCAACAGGACACACTTTCTGCTTTTCTTGTCCAGCTTGCCTCTTTTCTGGTCAGGGATATGAACGTGACCCAAGCATCCAAAAATTCGAAAATAACTCACCACTGGTTTCTCACCACTCCATGCTTCTTCAGGCGTCATGTTTGCAAGAGATGAGGTTGGACTTCTATTCTGAACGTGCACACTCCATCTTGCTGCCTCTGACCAGAATGCCTTTGGAACCTTTGTTTCACTCAACATCGTTCGTACTGCATTCATGATTGTCCTATTCTTCCTCTCAGCAACTCCATTTTGCTGAGGGGTATAGGCTGTTGTCTGTTGATGCCTTGAGACTTGCAGAATTCTCCAAATTCATTGGAATTGAACTCACCTCCACGATCTGTTCTCAAGCAAGTGATTACTGTTCCTATCTCCTTTTCAACATCTGCTTTAAAAATCTTAAAGGTTGCAAAAGCTTCTGACTTTTCATCCAAGAAATAAAACCAAGTTTTACGAGTAAAATCATCAATAAAAATCAGAATATACCGCTTTTCATTGTGTGAGGCTGGTGTTATGGGACCACATATATCAGAGTGTACCAGTTGGAGTTGTTTAGATGCTCTCCTAAGGCTCTTCTTAGGCATTGACTCGCGATGCTGCTTCCCGGCTAAACAAGTCGTGCATAGCTCCTTAATGTTTTTCAATGAAGGAAGTTTGACAACCATCTCTTTGTGAGCTAACATCCTCAATCCATCATGATTGAGATGTTCATAATGGCATTGCCACATATGAGTTTCTTTCTCTATTGTTTCTGTCTGAAGGCACATAAAACTCGTCTGTGATTTGGATGCCATGAGATAAAACATTCTGTTTCCACTCATGTTTGTCTACCTGATGGACTGTTGTTGGCAAGATCGGCGCAAACTTATCAGAGGCCCCATATAAATTAAAAATTTTGGGCATTTTTCTTTTAAGTAAAAAAATTTCAAACTTTTTGGGTCTTTTTCTTAAAGAAAAAAACCTAACAATAATTCGGATCCTAAGCAATTGATTACTTTGCCTCCCCTATGGGCCGGACCTGGTTGTTAGTAACTTGCTTACTAACAGTTGACACGCATCGTTGTTCTTTCACCATTTTTGGCAATGATTAGCTATACCTATACTGCTTTATCCCTGTATAAGTATATTTTGCTTCATTTTAATGAAATTCACATAGTTATCAGAAATAACTCTACATATTATTATTATACAATATAGATTCTATTAAAATTATAATATTTTATTAGTTCATAGAGTAATAAATCTTCCTTTTCAAAATTCATATTTTAAAAAATTTCTATTTAAAAAATAATATTTAATTTTACCGTATCATGTTCTGATTAAGCTTTATAAATTTGAAATTTATGTATTTGAATTGGATTATTTAATATACTTTTATTCATCAAAAATATATAGGCAATTATCTCAAATAGAATTTTTAAAAAGTTTTTGTCACAAATATAGACCTCAAAAACTAAACTGACCAAAATAGCATTTTTTATTTTGAAAATTTTAATTTTAATTTTTTTTTTTTAAATTTGAAATCCTATCCTCAACACCACACTCCTAAACTCTAAGCCCTACCTCTTAACTCTAAACCCTAATGTCTAGATTAATTAACTCTAGGAGTATAAGTGTATATTTACTTCTTTTGATAAAAAAATGAAGTCTATTTTGCTTATTTTTATTTTTAAGGTTTATATTTTTGACAAAAAAAATTTTAGGTCTATCATAGGAAATTTCTCAAAATATATTATATAATATAAATTCATTTTAGATGTAAGTTGATAAATTAACATCAAAATATCAAATTAAATATAATAAGTGTAGTTTTATTTTAAGATAATATATTATTATATATTAATATAATAATAAATAATAACTATTATTACTTTTCAGAAATGTATTTATTTTAAAAAATTATAATCTTTTTGTCTTATTATTTTACAGAGTTATGTAATAGGTTATATTGATCCAATATGAAATTGAAAATTTTTAATTAATTTATCATGTTTATAAATTTATCAATTATTATTTTAGAGAATTTATACTATACTTTCTTAAGAAAAGTTTGGAAAAAAATATATGATCGAAATACATCGACTTCTAGCAAAAAAAAAAACAACCAACGAAGACTTCTGGATAAGTCTTTTGCGCGAATAGTACACTTAGGATCTAGAAGAGATACAATTATAGTTCAATTTCTCATGTTGTCTAGAAGATATTAGGGTCTAGAAGAAAGTCAGTTATAGTTTAGAGAAGATTTCTAGGTAAGTCTTTTGGGTGAATATATACTTAGGGTCTAGAAGAAAGTCTTCTGTATTGAAAATATTTAACCTAATTAAAATTTTTGTCTCCATAAATAAAAAAAATTAAAACATTATCACTCTTCCTCTTAAATGGCTGCAACAAAAATATAATGTTTCTCATTCTAAAACTCTTCATTTCTCCAACATCTTTATAATTTCTTTAAACTTGAAAACACCAAACTTTTTAACAGTTTTTTCATTTTTCTTATATCTTTCTCATCAGTTTATCTTGTTTTTGCATGTTTTTTCATTACATGGTTCTCATCCTTCATTCCCTTAAAATTAGATCAATAAAATTTGGATATATAATTTTTTGAGTTTTATATGTTAGTATCAAAAAGTTGTAGATTCAACATAAGGTGACTATTTTATTTATTATTTATGCATAAGCAATTATTTTTTTAAAA